GAAGTAATCACACCACTTCCTCTGCAAGAGAATTGTCTCTCTGCACTAGTGGAGTACTAGACAGGATTTGTCCTATGATGTGTAAGCCAGACTTCTTGTGCTACATGGTTTTGCTGTTGCTAACTTCAGTGACTTGGAAGTACTGAAGAGCATGGAGTGGGAGAATGACAGGCAGCATCTTATTGGATCATTATCCCAAATGGATCCATGCTTTAGAGTATCTACATTCATATGTTTGGACATGCAACATTTTGTGGCTGTTACTGAGAAATAGCATTGAGAAGCTTCAAGAGATGCTTTTTCAACGCCTAATGAAAGCTGTGGTACTATAAAATGGAAAAAAAAATGCTGCTTACAAAAAATAGTGTCTAAAAGAATACCTGAAGTTCTACTCGTGTTGTTTTTAGTTTCTTCAACAATTCATTTGTTAATAATCCAATTCTATAACAAAAATAACTGGAGGATAAAGAGCTACATTTTGTAGTTTTTTAAAAAGACTCTGTAGGTAGGAACACATTGAATAAATGATTTCAGAGTAATGGTATAAATGAAAAGAGGGAGTCTCACAAGATAGTAAGATATGGTGCAGTGACACGAAGCTAAAAAATTATTCATTTTGGCTAAGTAGTAAGAAAAGTCTTAGCAGCAAGAGAAACTGGGCAGTGAAATAGATTTGCCAAGAAGGTGACCAAACGTCATCAGGGCAGATATTTAAGAACTAGTTCATAAGGTATTAGTGAGTGGTGGAATTAGCCCTGCAAAATGCTCCATGTAAATTTAAATTAACCTGATGGTTATTTCACTCTCAGCTATTCTAGTTCAATTCCAGATGACTGCTACTCATCTGTTATCAAATACATATTGCCCAAAATCATATAACCCATACTCTGTCAGTTTATTAATCAAAGATAAATCAGCACAATACAGAAAGGAATATACATTACCCAGTCTGGGGAACAGCTTTGTAGCAATCACAGCTTACTTCTCCAGTCTGTGTCTGTTCCAAAGTCTGAACACAATTCTACTTATACATATACACACATACCCTTGTTTATAACAAATAAAAGATTCCACAAATTTCACTGTATTACCAGGCCGTACACATCTTCTATTTAGCCCCATCTATGTTTTGCGAAACATAGAGATAGCTATACCAACCAAACCTTGTACAGATAATCATCCATACCTGGCAGATGGTGCATATTTTGCAAGCCTCAGAACATACATCTTATTTTCTGACAGATTCTACATGTACAAAAACAGAGATTTTAACAGATTAACTACTAGTCGTTTTCCACAGTAAGCTTAATGAGTACCGTTCATAGTTCTACAACTTTGCATAAACACAAAGCATTCCAATAATGATACATTTTACTTGTTTAGAGTTAGCTACTTAGTTTAGTTGCATTACACACCTTATCCAATTACCCTTGCAATTACCCTTGCAGTTTACATATTTTAATTAATACATTTGTTTGTGAGAGTTGATTTCACAGTCTAAAGTAAAATTCTATTCCTTATGTAGTGAAATTACCACCTGCAGTCTCAGCTCTATAGGATACGTCTACACTGCGTCTGGGAGCAAGCCTCCCAGTCCAGATCCACAGACTTGTGTTAGTGGGGGCTCACTCTAGTGCACTAAAAATAGCTGGGTAGATGATACAGCTTGGGCTCCCAAGCTTGGGTGGCTGGGCGGGCCTGAGAACCCAGGCTCCAGCTTGAGTTGCAAAGTCTACACAGCAATTTTTAGCATGCTAGTGTGAGCCCCACAAACACAAGTCTGGTCTGGACCTGGGTTGGGAAGTTCACTCCTTGATGCAGCATAGACATGCCCCTAATTTCTCAAGGAGTACTTTTCCACTTCACCTTTGGTCTAGCCCTATAGAGCATAATGGGATTTTGGTTCAGTTCAGTCAACAAAAGTGTAGATCAACATAGTGACCAGCAGGCAGCCAGCAAAAACTTGTGTTCTTTTTATTTGAGGATCAGTTTTCTTCAGGAAGGGGAGAAAATACCTGAAAAATCTATACTGACTGGCAACATGGTACGAGCAATACAATAATTGTCTTTGGTGCAATATTTCCCTCAGTCTTTGGTATCAGACAGTGTACCACAATTCAGGAGCCATTTGCGTCCTTGGGCAATACTATATTGCTGTTTCCTTCAGTTGGTCAATCGGTGTATACTATTACTGTACTACAGTTCCATTAGCTATGTTATTTATGCAGACTTAATGGCACTGTAATCTGTGGTTGATATGTGGTTAAATACAAGATGATGGTCGGTCACCTAAGATTCTGTCTGTCTGTCTATCTAAAGATTAAAGACCTCCTGCTTTGCTGTCATGGCAATAGAGGTATATGTCACATGGATAATGTAGTTAATCTGATTACTGTCATAGAATGATTGCCTCAAGACCTGACTTTATTAGCTCTGCAAGAGAATTAGGAACATGGCCTAAAATAACATGCTGGCTGTTTGTTTGTTTTTCTCTAGCATGTGCTAGGATTGAGTGTAAAATATAATGAACAAACTGGTGAATAAGGCCTTTAAGGAATAAAACTATATTTTAAATGAAAGAAACAGAAAATGCTAATCTCTTTCCAGGAAACGCCTTCAACTTTGATCCTAACTGCTTAAAGAAAACTGCAGCAGCTAAACAGAGAATCACAAGTCCCTTATTCTCTTTCCACTCCCATGGAGTTTATAAGAATCAAGTGAGCAGTTGTTACTCAAGCACTAGTTTTACTTTAGCACTGTCCTTGTTTGTGTAGCAATGCAAAACAAAATCCGTAACCTGAATCAGTTTACTGTATATACTTACAATGCTGTAATGTTAAATATTACTTCCTGTTCCAAATCACAACACATTTCCTCACTGTGAGCCACATTTTGCCCTTGTTCCAAAAAGAGCTATTTTTCTATTTAAAGTAAGTCACAATCCCACTTAGCTTGTTTTAAAAAATAAATGCAGACTGAGTATTGCTCATATTACTAAATTCAGAATAGCTGTCATGTAGTAAATACAGCATACTCATGTTTGAAATGAAATACTACAGCACTCCTAAAACAAAGAAAATATTTAAGTCCATGGCACTGCTCAAATGGGAAAGAGCAGTAGGATTGGTCTGGGTTCTGGAAAGGAATTTCAGGGATGTCCAATTCCTAGGCAAAAAAATTCCTGGGCAAATCAACCAACTCTTATCGCTGTATTATTTAGAAAGAGCTCATTAGCCTTCTGCAATTCTGTAGCTACACAATTTTCTGCAATACTGATTTTTCTTAAAATAAAAGAGATCCCCTCAAACTTAACTGAAGTTAATTCTTAAAAAAAATATGAAATAGTTTTGGAAAACACATCTTCTCCTGAGTACTTCTGCCAATTTTTGCGGTTTTACCACCACATCTTTGTGTTTTATTAATTTATTTTACCATATTATATAAACGAACAACACAAAATTGAATGTATGGTAAATGTGCATACACAAAGTACTGTTATGCACTCCCCTTAAACAAAAAAACATATTTTCCTTTAACCTCATTCAGTTACTGTACTTTCATATGTTAATTGTAACAAAAGTAAGTACAAATTTTCAGACAGAAAACTTTCACAAATATGATTAACTTGACAGTGTCCCTGTAGCGTGCATCTGGAAAATACACTGTCTGTTTTCCATTCTCCTTTTGTATATGGACAAGTTTAGAAAGTATTTTTGTATGGAAATTTGTGCCGTTTATCCAACATCTCAAGAATTATTTTAATTGTTAAATGTATTGTTCAAGCAGCTGCAGCAGAAATAATTGTGTGAATCAGTAGCTTGAGTTAAGTAGCCTTCTAGCTTATGGTTAAATAGCTCTAATAGTAAAATCTCCTATTGTGATGAGCAGTTTCAGTGCCTGCATCACAGCTAGATATTCCCATTATGGACTATGAACAAAAGAGTTCTAAAGAATCAAAATGTGGTGAAGAACTACGACTTGGTAAGTCTTAAATGAATCCAATCCTAACGGAAATAATATTAAAAAAATAATTTAATGTATTTAGTAAAGACACAAGAATAAAGTGATCAGATTGTCATTAGCATTTGAGACACACATTTATTTTGTCTCTGGCAATAAGTATCAAAACACTAGGTTAAAAGAAAATTTTGTAGGTTGTGAAGTCAAGCATTTGAAAGGTAGAAATGCCAGATTTATGGTTGCCCCTGCAGCCTTAATTCTAACCCCTTGTTCTTCCATTCTGTGCACTGAGTAAGGCAAAGGTCCTGTGGAAAAAACAGTATGTGATCGTGTAGTTAAAACTGAATCATAATGGGCTCACCACAGCTGTATGCAGTGGGTCCTTGTCTGGCTTGCAGGAAGAAAAGGGATTGTTGCCCTTTTTTGGGCTTCCTCTTCAACTGGTACCAGAGAAGGAGGAAAAGGGAAAATTTATCTGATGAAGTAGGAAGTGGCTGGACCAGGTGTGTGGAGTAACTACACTTCCAGCTGACTGGAAGAGTAGGGTGGGTATTTATACCCTGGACAGTCTGGAGAAGCCTTCTTTCACGGGGATTGGTCTGGCAGCATCCATCCTGCCACCCATGGAATCTGAGTAAGGACCGGGTTTCTTCTTGATCCATTGTGGCCATTATGCTAGTTGCCCTTTTCTTTGGGGGCTGGAAAGGAATTTTTCCCTCACTGCCAGATTGACCAAGATAGGGTCGTTTTCCCCCCCCCCCCCCACCTTCCCACAGCAGGTTTGGGACCCGGTAGGGTGGGATATGGGGTTAGGTTACAATATTGCAACTTACTATGTAATATTTGGGGCAAATATCCAGTGCAGGTACTCGTTATGGAAAGGCTATGGTTATTGGAGCAAATGGATTGGAAGGGGATTTAGAGGAATGCAGTCCTTAAGGGAGCCGAGGAAAAGGGTTTGGGGCTCTGACATCTGGTCCAATGAGGAGCCAACTCCCCTCCTTTACTAGCCCCCTTAATCCTCATGTGAGGGAAGGGCAGTGGGGGCCCAGCAATGGGATGCCTGGGATCAGGTTGGGAAGGGACAGTGCTGACAGCAGCCCTCAAAATTAGGTGGAAATTATTAAGGAAATGATGACCAGCTGCACTGTACAACTTCTTGCCGGATACTCCGGATATTTTAAGTGAATAAAGTTGCAGCCTAATTAAACCATGTCCATTTTCTCCTGTCTTTCCTCTGCCATCGCCAGACAATGCATACTCAGAAGGGGCATAGTTATTAAGACTGTATGAGCAGCCATAAGTCTGGTATTTTCAAATTTTCAAGTGCTTGACTTAACAACTAAATCACATTCTTTTAACAGTTTTTTGGATGTAATTTCCAAGGGTGGTGTTTTTGTTAGAGGAAAAAGGTAAAAATAAAATTATATTATGTACAATTCAACCAACATGTACCATCATCTGGTGTGAACCGTGACCATCAGCACTGCAGTGCAGACTTTGGCCACTTGCGTTACAGGACTGATTGTAGTAGGTGGCAGCAGGAGGAGGGGTGAGGTGGTTGGCTGGCTCCATATTCTGGGTCCAGCGGTGATGGGGGAGAGTCTGACCCAGCCCAACAATCATTCCTTCCTCCCACCACAGTGGTACCTCCAGAGTGGAGAATGGGATGGCTAGAGGAGATAACATGGGGAGTCCAATCTGGCTGTCTCTTTTCCCCTATGGGGAGGTTGGGGGACTCTTGCCCCCAGGTCATGCCCTGGGGATGGGAAATGTGATGTCTTGGCCCTGTGCTGGATCAGTGGAGCCCAGCCTGGCTTGACTCAGCTCTCTCCCCATTCCCTCCGTCCTGCTACTACAGCTGCGCTAGCAGCTCCCAGGCATTCCTAGTACAGCATGTGGTGGTGGTGATGCTGCTGCTTTAAACGATGGGTAGCATGGACCTAAATCTTTAGAATGTTTGTGTGTTCAATTATAATTTTGGCAGGCTGCCAGAATTTTCCTGAGGAATACAAGTGAGAAGGGAGAGGGTGATTTTTTAAAAATAGTTTATAACTCAACTGAACCTGAATGGAATTTCATGAGACAAATAAAAGGCATTTCTTTAGCCTGCGGGCTTTCCCCTTGCTGAATTCCAGAGACCCATTGCAATCAGTGAAAATGTTAGCGCTTCTGAAAAAAGGGCACAAGCAACTCTTAAAATGGAAAGTGCTGGGCTACCTAAATATAGTGGGCAGCTACCCATATAATGAAGGAATTTGCGACTAAAACAACAAAGTCAAGGGTCAGCATAGAAAACGGTTCAGATACAGGTAACTAACTTTTTTCTTCCTTATTATGCAATGCACTTCTTGGAATCCTTGAAGATTCTAAAGGCTCTTTGTTAAGGTGCTTTCACTTACATGAAGGTACATTGTGCCTGATTCTTATTGTCCTGGAAACACAGAAAAAAAGAGAAGATGTGGCTTAAGTAGGCTGCAACTGTATTAACTCATCTGGGAAGTAACTGGCAGTAATCCGTGCAATATTTCCTTCCTTAATCACTTCCACCTGGTAGAGGGTTGCCATCAGCCCTCCACAGCTGGTCATTGCTGGCACCCCACTGCCCTCCCTTTGTATGAGAGTTAAGGGGCTGGGGAAAGAGGTTGTCTCCTTGCTGGAGCAGACATTAGGAGCCCTATCTCTGTTCCCTAGCTTCCTTAGGGGATGCTTCCCCATTAACAGGGCCGGCTCCAGGCACCAGCTTACCAAGCAGGTGCTTGGGGCGGCCGCTTCAGAGAGGGACGGCACGTCCAGCTGTTCGGCGGCAATTCGTCGGATGATCCCTCACTCCTGCTCGGAGCGAAGGACCTTCCGCCGAATTGCTGCCGCAGATCGCGATCGCGGTTTTTTTGTTATTGTTGTTTGGCTGCTTGGGGCGGCCAAAACCCTGGAGCCAGTCCTGCCCATTAGGTCCACTTCCAGTTCTGGTTTATCAGTGACCCCAGACCCCCTATGGAATGAGTACCTGCACTGGACTCCTGCCACACATAGGCACCAGCAATTAGCGTGACTGCCTCCTCTCCGCCAACCTGGTTCCCAGATGAATGGTAATTTCCTCTCTCATGTTGGCCAGAAATACATCCTCTCCTCATCTGGCAGGTGTACCCCATTGTCACTGAATAACAGACATAACCAATATATTTTCGTGGGTAATTACCAATCCTCCCCATTCCCCCCTTAAAGGATCTACTATCCTTTTTTCCCCCGGAGTCCAGACAAAGCACTGCCACTTTGAGATTGCAGGGGTTGCATTTGCACTAAAGCCATTTTACACTGCTCTGTCATTAAAGGGACCTTAAAATGGGTGTAAATGTAACTTATGCCCACTCTAAAAACACTGAACAATGCCAGAGCAGTGTAAAGTGGCTTTAGTGTAAATGAGAACCAGGCCCTTTGTCTTCATTGGGGATACTTCTGATTTACTCCATCATGAAATCAGACAGTGCTACATTTTGATAAATGCGCAGTGAGGGTGTTTTAAGTCTTTTGAATTTTTTAAAAACAATTATACAAAAATATGGCTAAATTAAACAGTGGGCAAGGAAAAAAAAAGCAATTAACGCCTTACAAACACATAGCCTTCTCACCCCCACAACACCTTCTTAGTAAATTTCCTGTACCTTGAGGCAGCTTGCTTAGTGCTGTTGAATCCTAAAAACATTGTTGCAGAATTTGGTACTCAGGCTTGTCTGCATGGGAAAGTTTTACCTATTCTACTGATAAAACCTCCTCTGTGGATG